TATAAATGTTAAACATGCTTGTAATAGAAAATTTTAAAAAGAAAAAGAAAATAAAAACTTTTTTTACCACACATCCCTCAAGACACTCACTATTGATATTTTGGTGTATTTTTCAGCCATCTTTCTTTGTTTTTGAGCATAACTGTGAGTCTCCTGTGTGTGGGAGTCTCTAGCCCACTTTCTCCACCTAGCTTTAGTCCTACTTCAGTCAAATGTTCCAGAAACATCGAATCCCCAACCACCTGGCCGGTGAGTTCTGTGACCTCGAGGAAGTTCCTCATCTTTCTGGACTTTAGTCTTCTCATCTGTATAATGGGGACAGTGATGCCGATTGTGTACGTCACCAGTAACCAACCGTCATTGAGTCAATTCTAATTCACGAACCCATGTGTGTCAGAATAGAACTGTGCTCCATAGGATTTTAAATAGCTGATTTTTCAGAAGTAGATTGCCAGGGCTTTCTTTTGAGGCACCTCTGGGTAGACTGAACCGTCAACCTTCTGGGTGGCAGCTGAGCATGTTAACTGTTTGCACCACCCAAATAACACAAGTGAGAGCGTTACAAGCACAGCGCAGTTCAAACGTGCGGTATTAGGACTGGTGTGAGTGTTCGGAACTGACGAGTCTTGATGAGGCCACAGCAAAGACCACAGGAAGAGAAAGGTGAGCAAACCCACACCTGTCCGTCTGGGCCTCTCGGGAGTACCCGAGCCTCCCCCCCACGGGCAGCCCGGCTGCTGCCTTCCCTCAGGGGTCCTGGGCAACCCAGCCCCACTTCCTGTCAGGTCTGGGCTCCATTTCCATCCACTGCAGCCAGGAGGGTAATTAGAGGGAGATATCCAGCCTGGAATTCCTCATTTCCCCTCCCTTGTGGCCTGGGGGTGAGCTCTGAGGATTTTCCGAGGGCAGGGCTCTGGTGGCCTGGCCTGGGCTGAGCTGGGGCTTGAACCTTGGGGGGGTATGGGGCCAAAAATGGAGGATTGCTGAGGGTTTGCTTTGGGGACCGTGGCGTGCCTGGGTGGGAGAGAGAGGCCTGGAGGTGGATTTGATGCAGCCATCAAAAGCTTTCTTTCAGCCATGCATTTTGACCTCCAAAGTGCGTGCGTGTGTGTGTGTGTGTGTGTGTGTGTGTCTGTGTGTGTGTCTGTGTCTGTGTGTGTGTGTGTCCGTGTGTGTGTGTGTGTCTGTGTGTGTGTCTGTGTGTCTGTGTCTGTGCGTGTGTGTCTGTGTGTCTGTGTGTGTGTGTGTG